AAAGTTAACATGTTTTCATTTGATCTTAACGAATATAGCCTGGAGAATGGGGAGATGGACAGAAAAAGATATAGATGTTTGAGAACGGGGTAGGAGAGTCGAGGGGCCAAACGCACGACTCTTTGCACGAAAACTTATGTATAGGACATTCGAAAAATCGTGAAGATGGCGCAACCATCTGACACGCACGCACCTTTCGGCAACCGCATCTTGGTTTTCATCCCTACTCGATTGGTTTTTCTGCTCAGGACAGTACTTGGACAGTGGAAGTGACTGAACTGAGCGTTGAGGTGCTGCCTTTTTGTATGAGGGTGTTATGCTGCTGCGGGTGCAAAGACTGCAGTCAAATCCATTGCCACAGTTTTATGAATGAACGTTACAAATACCTTGAATAGTACCTTGGTATATCTTATTGATTATCCACTGTGAGAAGAGAGCAAGTTCGGAATTTTTAGTCAATGATATTTTTCAGCAGTGAGCATCCTTTTTTCGTTTCAAAAGAGTAAGTGAAGAAAATGAAGCAGCACGTTGTCCACGTTTCATATGCAGCTGCCGAGATTGTGGCCCGTAGTAAAGCTCGGTCACAGGAGATGATCTCCCCTGAGACCCTCATATGAGGATTTGTCGGGTGAGATGAGAACTGCCCACCTTTCCGTGGTATAAGTATGCAAGGTCACCCTACAGGTGAGCTTCAGATGAATCCCGGCAGGGAGATCAGCTCCCGACCGAGTCATCGGAGATGAGCCGGGCGACGAGATAAGGTAAATACTGTGCTAAAGAGGAGAGCACAGAGAAAACCTCCGTAAGTTGCTCCCGAGTAACTTATGAAACATCGCAGCTGACGTTCTTTTGCGGTGCAAAACTCCCAAAACTGCACAATTTGGGGCGCCTAATTGAGTGAGGATCGATGAACAGCTGATTGCGCGACGAAATCGAAAAAAAGGGTTTTTTGTGCATTTTTCTTGCAGTTTTTGCTTGTTTTTCTTGAAGAACCGCTTCAGATGACAAAAATTCATGACAAAAATTTCTATTCATTTTTCGCCAAGTGTAATTCTCCTCGTATAAATGCCAAAACAATGTGTATTTGTTTTATCTCGTTGTTTGCTAGGTGAAATCTCTGATAGCTGCTATCATCGATTTTTCGATAACGGCCGCTATCGAAGGTCGCCAGGCCAAGTATCAAAAACTGTGCCGCTGGCCGCACTCGAACCACGGCCATGCCGCTTGAAACGCATTAGTCTTATCCATTCGACTAGTAACGCACAAAAGACAGAAACGTTCCACCGTTGAAGACACGATCGTCCAGTAAGTGACCTGCTCGAAATCAATCGCTCCCCTGGCAATGTGCTGAGGCGCGATGAGATCAACTTCGGTCCGCCTCGAGGGAGATGCCCTGATGGGGGTTTACTACGGGCCTGTGCGTGCTACACGAGCTAGCGCTGAGGTTTCGATACTAATTTATCGCCGGAGGTGTACTTACACCAGATCGTGTGCATTTTCAACCTTGATGGGCACAATATATGATCGTGTGATTGAAACTTACCGCTCCTGCTAACGCTTCCCCGACTTAGCATCGCACATTTTTGCTCTGAAGCAAATCTGCTTCATTAGCTATGATGTTACCCCTTTATGGAATAGAAAGGAGTATTTCATGTCCACCCACCCATCGATTTCAAACCGCAAGCTAGAAAGCCCACATCGCATACGGTCGTGAATATTAGGTTTACTCTTGGGTTTGATTCGAATAGAAGTTCGATCATTCGAATAAAACATTCGAGCATAACCTAAAGTCATTTGTAACTTAATATGTGAGATTGCACACTAAGCCCTATAAGCGACGGCACCAATACTAGTAACTTCCCAGTAAAACATTTTCTAGCCTAACAAGGTGTAGAAATGTGTTCCACTGACTAAGATATAACCAATCAGAACGAAAGAAACAAGGAAACAAGGAGAAATCACTGGAAATGAGCAGGTTCTAGTTTCGCTGCTCGTCAGTTAGCATGTATAGTGTGTACTTGGCATATTAAGTTACAAATGACTCGACTATATTTACATTCGAAATTCAATATCCGGAGTTTTTCTATTTGCGAATAAGATTTGAAACGAATAATCAAAAACAGGGTTTCGAAAAGATTTTATTCAAATGTTTTATTCGAATATTTTTCAATTTCGTACTCGAATAGACTCCGTACTCAAATTATTCGAGTTTGTTACAGAGTCAACTGCTGAGTATCAAGCTCGCTTCGATGCGTTTTTTTCCCGCAAAATCCGGTAATGCATCTTTCTGCAATCGTGATGACCTTTGAACTGTATGGAAAGTTGCATTCCTCCGACTGCTTGCGACAGTAAAAAGTAAGCGTGGATTTTAATTGATGCTTTTTCGATCAGTGAGATAGTTCGCATTGCTAGTCGCACCAAATTAGCAAAAAAAACAGCTATCAAATGCAAGCTCATATTCCGATTTCATATACAAATGTGTTGACATGTCTGTTTGTCTTTCTTTGCATTGCTCATGCTTTAGTTACGCAAACGTCCACACTAGTGAGCACTCTTGCTTGTAAAACTCATGCTGCACAACTGCCTCTATTCTTCACCTTAAAGATTTTTCGCGAATTGGATATTTTGAATTGAGGACATCGCAGCTGTAGTGGAGTATCAGACGGTTGATGAATTTTGCAGTTATATCACCATGCAAGAAAGTTTTGTTTAGTAGATAATACATGATAGTTCTGTTATCACAGCGCATCCAAAATATTCACGGAGGCTTGCAGGACTTCAACACCGGGAGCTATCAGACTACTATGGTAAAGGCTAAAGCCGGACGAAAAAGTCCCACTGAGAATTGCGAGCACTGATTATGACAAGCCCCGCACAAACTTCACGCGACAATCGTACGCGATTTGTTAGTTACAGATGTTAGCTACGGGGTGGGATTTGGTACAGGGGGGGGGAGGAAGGGAGAGTGCGGATTATGACTAAAATTTTATTTTGTCGATTTTATCGATTTTTGAAATTTTGAGCTAAGAGGCTGAGAGTTGCTACAGGGGGTAAATGAGGGTGCTTATTATAAATAAACATTTACTTTTTTTTATCGATTTTTGGAAAATCTTGAGCTACCAGGCTGGTAGTTAGTACAGGGGGTAAGTGAGGGTACTGATTAAAAATAAAATCTATTTTATCGATTTCAGCGATTTTTGGAAAATGTGAAGGCACTGATTATGAATGGATCAACTTTAGCCGAATATGACAGCAAGTTGATCTGGTTGCTCTATTTATTCGATAAATGCTTCGGATATTTATTCGAAATTCGACTCTCAATGTTCGAATATAATCGATATTCATTCATTCGATATTTCTGGTTTTCCGATTTTATTCTGGATTCATTCATTCGAGAATTTTTGAACCTCCAATCTATTCGATATTCGTTTAGTCGATGAAAAATCTCGAATTTACACAAGTATAATCAGGTTCCACAACGACTCAGCGCCTTGGTGAGTTCGACGCTCATATCCACGAGTCACGCGCTCATGCGACCTTTAGGTCTGGAAATGATATTCCCAATCTCTTCTCCTTGTTTTACTAACTACTTGTTTTACTCCTTGTTTTACTGTTTTGCTAAGCAAGTTTCACTGAAGATCAATGGTAAGTGTCGTCAGTACCGGCACGTGATGTGCAGGATCACATACTCGGTTTGACTCGACAATATGTCCAAATACGAAACCAAGAGCTCCGCGAAAAATCCGTTTATGAATTTCTGTGCTCTCCAAGGAACATTTTTGAACTCAGCCGGAAAGTCAACCCTAGGTAAGCGACAAAATCTTAAGTCGAAGTTCTGCCCATATGCTGCTTCTAAAATACGGCTTAGGGAAGGGCAGTTGTTCAAAGAGTCGTGTGCCGCAACTCTTGCTTGATTCTGATGACACAGTCTTTGCTTATTAGGCTGCTCCATAAATTCTGTCCCATTTGAATCTTTTGGGTTCAAAATGTCATAACTTCTTTCAAAGTCAACTTTTTTTAAAATCTTAATTTCTATGTGTTGAGCAGTATCTTGGCTATCAGACACATATTGAGACTTGCGAAAATGCTTGTGAAGGAAGAAGCAAGAACTCAAAAACTCACAGCGGTTTTCATTAAACCTTTTTTGAAATGGCAATGTTCCCTTGTGAGAGTTGATAGGCATCTTATCTAACAATGGATAGATAGAGAAATTTTCTTAAATTATTTCGCAATTAAAAAGCCCACAGAGTCTGCTTGCCGAAAGAGTTTCTTTGACCGAGCAGAAAAGAAGCCACTTTTTGACCTCGCTTCAGCACATGTGTATGCCTATTTACGAATTATAAAATTTTACAAGTGACGTGAGCGCCTAAAAGGAATTGGTGGATGGATGGGCCCTGCTAGCTCTTGCTTTACCCTAGCACCTCCAACTTCTAACTCATCAATTACTTCTATTCGCAGGAAGTTATTGCTTGTAAAACATTTACAAAAAAATTAATGTTCAGTAATAAATATTAGCAAGACGTTTCTTCTTAAACTGAGCTTCTGCATACACTAGCCTTCACACCCTTGTTCCGCAACCAATGAAAAAACTTTACTGGAAGGGCGCATTGTGGAGATTTTCTCGCAAGAACATTTCTAGGGTGAGAACGTACCTCGGCTACGTGGAGATTTTAGGTCTGAAATCTCTTTACACTAAGAAATTTACTGAAATTTAATATGCGTTAGAACGAGCAAGAAAAGCACTTTCTACTGATACTAACAATATCGCATTTAAGATGAATCGCCTAGAAATGCTGCTTCAAGCATAAGGCAAAAAAATCGGACAGAACTTATGCAGCAGCCTAATACATACAGGTTTGATCAGTGTGCAAGCTCGTAAGAACCTTGTATCAACTAACAAAGCTTTTGCTCAGAAACCCAATTACCAAAGATCAATTGAATACTAAATCGAAGCAATCGAAGCAACAAAGCTTTATTCTGCATAAAAATGCGAAGCGTCTATCACACTACTTTCTAAGGGGATAACGATATTAAATACCACGCGCAATCTACCTGAACATTATGTTAAACTAACAAATAAAATTAATAATAACGGGAAACAAAAATGGATCTTATAAAAGTGCTGTGGATGGAACTAAAGTGGTGATATGTAGCCAAAAATAATAAGTTTCTGTGCAACAAAACAAAATGCACAATTTTCGTCCAGATGTTGTGAAGATAGCACACTATTCGCTGAGCGCACCATCGTCCTCATCGCTTGAAGACTCAGTTCCATCCTTCCTCACAAAGTGTGCGTACACCAGCGTTTCTGTCTGTAGAAAGTTACAATTTACGATAGCTGTTTGGGATTCAAAAGAAAAAAATTGCTGTGATGACATTATTATCAGAAGGCGATAGAGCCATATCAGTTTCGATGCAGTGACAAATCATTCGAGCATTACTAGTAGACCAGAGTTCATTGTTCATTTATTTTTGAATTTGGAAATTAGTAGCGCATAAGGATTAGTCAAATTCAGCTGAACTTCCTCGAAACTCAGTGCAATCAAGCGTTCCTACTGTCAAGCATACCATATACTAATTCTCAAGGGCCTTGCACCTAGACATGTTCAATCACCTTCGTAGAGTCTTCGAGATCTTTGTTGAAGTGTAATTGTCCATAGCCAAAAAACTCAAATGCAACCCTCTACAAATTGTTTTCAATCACTTGAGTGGATGTAAAATTCATTTCGAAGCAAAGATGTATAATATATCGCTTTGGTCTTTATATGGTATTTCTCTGCTGCTCTATGGGGTAAAAACTGAAAAAGCATGAATGAATACCACACGATACTAAAAAAGTTTCTCTGATTTTCCTACTGAAAGTCGTTAATCCATATCTGGATTTAATTTCCAATTATTGAAAGATCTAGAAATTTTTCAAAGATGCACAAGCAGGTACAAAAAAATGTGTCATCCTTCAAATCCATGCAAACGCTGGAAATCTCTTACAAACATGACAGAAAATTTCTATACTCAAACATTCAATGTCAGAACATTACCTTCTCCATTTCTATGAGTTAGACGCAAATAATGAAGCTTAAAATGAGATAAGACTGCATGCATGGTACGAAACGCAAACAAAGAAAGTTTCGAGTTTTTCCTTTCATTTTCAGTTTTTTTTAGTACTCAGAAAATTTATGAGAAGTGCTGTTGGGTACTTTGGCCTTCATAATTTCCAGGTATATGATTCAATGAAGAAGCTCAAGAACTAATTGTACCCCTACGGCGTCTCATACGGATTCGCTGAGAGCATCGGCTCCCAATGAGCCGTCTAGTCGAAGCCCTTCAAAGATTCGCCATGCAGCGGGCAGAACACTGGACAAAACAACTATTCTTCAAACTTCAACAAGTGTGCATGGCGATTTGCAAAATATGACAGTCGCAACATTCAGTCTAAACTCAAAATCCAGTAGATACATGTCTCTTCATTTTATCATGTGCGTTTTGGAATCAATCTCCCACAACTTTTTGGCGGTGATTTTGAAGTCTCGTTCTTGCGAAAAACGTCAGTTCAAAAATCAACGCGATAAGTTATCTAGTGTATATACCGAGTGTCGAAGGAATGAGCAGAAAGCGACTAAGAAAGAGTGACCATCAGCGATTATCCATCACGCGCTCTCAAAGATAGGAATTTCGCACTTTTTGATGTTTACAGTAGCAACATAACAAGGTGCTGAACACGTAGGTGAACTGTACTAGTTGTCATGTTGATTCTGGAAAGTCTAATAGAATTCCATACCAGAGATGCTGTTTGATAAGCAATCAAAACAGAAGTGCTAGGTTTAGACTAGATTTACTATATATTTACCAGTTGTCATGGTAATGCCCCCGCACTCAGTGATTTAGTTTATAGAATGACTAATTCACATGTAGAACCACGTTGAAAGCTCAGACTCATAAAGAGAGGCATATTTAAATTTGCTACTACTTAAAGCACAACTTATAACATACTGAGTCTTTTCGACTTTTCGCTTCAAGGTGATAGAAAAATGACGCATTCAAAATTTTCCTTCGCGTTTATTGGACATCAAATGCTAACCTCAAGTCTGATGAACTGCACGTTTGTGCGTTTGAACCCAGGCAACTCGCGATCCCACAGTTGCTGCTGAGCATCGCGTCCTTTCACCGATGTGTCGTTAGCGAAAACGGTCATCAAAAGTTTGCCGGGACTAGAAACAACTTCTCATAAGCAGATCAATGAATGCTTGAGTGAGCATACCGGAAGCACTTGAGTACTTGGAGCGTCTGCTTGTAAGGGCAAACAACATCTTGATTGGTTTCGAAAGAAGCAAATGAAAATTCTTTTTCCGGTGTCACATGGATTGTAGCGTAATGATCCTGAATTTTTTAATGAGCATAACAGCTTATTCAACTTAGCTAGATATACGTACCGAATTTGGCAAGAACGCATTCATGCTGTACCCACACGGTTCGAAAAGTTCTTCGTGGATTAGTGTCCCTTTTGGTACTATACGATCAATTCCAGCACGCTGCAACGAAGAATATCTCCAAATATGGTGGTAAAAAGAAAGAACAACAAACTTTGGTGCACTCTTTTCCATCCTCGCAAGCTTTTCTCGTGAATGTATGTAAAACGTCGTCGTCCATATCCGTCATAAGTATCTCTAACGTGTGGTCCTAAAATGGGCATGCTATTGCCACATTGCTGGCACATTTTTTCTAATTATTATTACCACTAATCGTAATGAGTGAGTCTGCCACTTTCGACCAAAACTGAGAATCCCAATCTATCAATTTTTCAAAAGTTGAGAACAGCAAAAATCCTCTGCATCGTAAACCCACTATGACCCTGAGTTTGCTATGCAACAAGATTTGCACCCACATGACACTAAGATGCCGGCAAGTCGAAAACTATTAAGGATGAACGCTGCAGATTAGATATTTCGAGCAGAGATCATATCAAAATTGATATCATAAGCCATCGAAGACGCACAACGATATGCGTCACTATCATCTACGTCTAGTCCACAAAGACAATAATAAAATTATCAAATCTGTGGTGATAAACACCTAATGGAAAACTTTCATTTTCCTAAAAGCCGGGCATACCTCACGCGATTTCAGTCCCGACGCGACTTGGCAATACCAACTGTCCATAACTCACTTAAGCACATTTATATACAGGAGATAAGGCATTATATCAATCCCTGTAAGTTATACATATTATGCATGTGCAGTTTGCTAGTGTTGGATATGACTTCTGACAAACTGCCAAATCGCGTCGCGACTGAAATCGCATGGAGTATGCCTGGCTCTTAAATCAGTTAAATTATCGCTAAATATTATGACCGATATTGCAGGACCCAGACATGCAATTTGTATTCTAGTCAGTTCACGCTTCTTTACACTTGTAGAATGGCCAAATTATATTATAGAACGTCTCATTTCTAAAAAGCTCGAGTGAAAATCATCAATAGTCACCGGTGCTTTAGTGACCGGCTGTGGCACGTGGTAAGTGTAGAGATACCAGCGGTCCTGTTTGAGTGAACCCATGCAATAAGCGTGTCCATCTAAAACAAAATTAAGTCAAGCGAGTTTTGATCGATTTTGAACTTGCTCCAAAGATGAAAAGCTCTACCGTGGAAGAAGCCGTCTAGGTATTCAACCTCAGCGTCAAAAGAGCGGTGCTCCTCGGGCTGCAACTCGGGACGAAGGAAGTTCTTGCGCGAGTAGTAAACCGAGACCACCTTCAACAAAGAGCATTGAGGTAAAGTCCTGATTCCGCTAATTTCTGCACCTGCTGAAAGCCGCCATAGTCTCTAGCCAACTCAATGATTCTAGGCAGAGCAGCCAAAAGCCGTGTTGAGCCGCAAGTCTTGAGAATCAGGCGGCGCTCCGACACAAACAAACTGCTTTCACTAAAATTTATGTCAACTTCAATCAGTGGTGTGTAGTTCACAACTATTTGGCACCATCATAATCGTGTAGGTGCTGTGCCTTTTGCACTGATGTCGTTAGACGTTTGAAATTTTGATAAGGCAATTGGTTTCAACGTGAAAACTAGTAAAAAAAAAATTCTGCGAACACTGGATGTCCCCGAAGCCCTACCATGACCGCAAAAATAATCCAGACCGACATTTTGAAATGAATTTATGGAAAAGAAGCTAGGTTCAAGCTTGGAAAACCCTTCATCTTACGAACTTCCTCATGACATATATAATTAGCGCCCTACTCACCTCAGCACGTAGCTGTCAAGATAATCGGTATGCGCCGAGTGTAGCACCTTGCATCTGGCAATGTCTAACATAGCATCGATCTCGAATCTTGGTATAAGGCGGAGAGACGCGTCTTTTGTAATTTTGCCGCCAAACCATAACTCTAGCAGCTTTTCAGCACCTAAATAAGCCATTTGAGATCACACGTCTGCCGAGCACTCATATAGGATGTAGCTTCATGAGTCGACAAGTGGCCATTCATACTTTGTGCAAAATTCAAAAAAAAACACCATTCTTACCCTCAAAAAAGTACTCTTCGACTGGTGGGTCTTCTGGCTTCGATGGGATTACGCAGGAATTCAGCTGGATGGACATCTAGACGTCATGATTCAGCTCAAAGGTCAAATTAGAAAAAAAAAGTAACCTCACCTTGTTTCTCCGCAGGTTTTCCTGGACGCTTGTGAATGAGGTTTAGTCGGAATTAGATCACTCAACAGAGTAGAAAGTAGTGGAAAAAGATACTCGGACCCGCTAAGGAGGACGACGGTAAAGAACGAGGATCAGGGTCTCAATATCTGGACCCATACAATCCTAAAATCAAAGTTATCCGTTGAAATTTCATATAAGTGGCTGAAGCATCCGAATGACCTCCTGAGTGCTATCGGAAGCGCGTTCTCTGATCGCTATCGAGTTGCGGCAGAGAAGGAAGCGAGGGATTGTTCCAAGGGTGTGAAGGAAACGCACGAAAAACAATCGGCAATTCGACGCCCACTGAGATTTTGGCGACTTAGGACCTAAATCAGAGCAAATCTGAAGCAAGAAATGCTGTTTAGCTGTTGCAGGTAAACAAGGAAGGCGTAAGGGAAGGATACTTGGTCGAAGTGGCATTTCCACATGAAATGTTTACTGTTTCATAGAGCAAGGAATGCTAATTCCAAATCTGTTGTCGGTATCTGCAAAGCGCTTCTGGAAGGGTAGATGTTTCTTGAGGCAAAAATTCAAGGATTCGGCTAAGGTAAAAGTAGGTATTAAAGCCTTTCTGGAGCTTGAAATGAGTAATGATTGGCACAAGTGTAGTGAACTGAAAGTATTAATTGCATCGCCTCGGAATTATAAGCCCATCTGAGCTCACAGACTATACTTCTGAAAATTTTACTGTAGCGGCGCGTCCAAATCTTTGCTTGAAAAAATTTCCATAAATCCCCTTCCAGAAGCGCTTCACAGATATCGGAAACAAATTTGGAATCAGCGTTCCATGCTTTATAAGATAGTCCATATTTTATATGAAAACTCCACTTCGACCAAGTATCCATCCCTTGTAAGAGCTGCCCTTATGTCGCACTTACAAAACTTCGTTAAAGGAGCGAATGAGATTCACGCACAACACCGTGGGCTTATTCATTTACAGCACTCACGCCCCTTAGCACATGGGGAATCAATGATCATGGCAAATAATATTCCATAACGTAGTAAAAGTTAATTATGATTATGTTATGGGAATTCATAATGGTGAAATGAATGGCCATATACAGCAAAAAGTGACTTTGCCTCTGTTATGTCCAACAGTTACATCGGAAACCAGAGAGCTGTAGTCTAAACGAGCTCAAAGTACGATTATCCATATAGAGAGTAATTAGCCCAAGTATTTGGCTGATCAGGGGTTCTCAACAGCCCAGACACTAATATTGACATGGCAATAGCACTGAAATTCAGATTTACTCCAAATTTATTGGTATACTTATTGTGCCAGACATCTACAACTATGTACACCAGAGGGTGCATCGCTTGAGTCAACATCTTGAAAAATGAAGTCAACATCTCAAAATGTGCGCACCCCTAACCCCTTTTGTCAAAAATCAAAAATGAACTCGTACTATACAGTCAATTACGTACCACGTGAAAGAATGCCACTTTTCAAGACTTGCCTTCTGGAGACCCTGGAGACCCTATACAATGTTCAAAGAGGTCCTTATCTGTGTCACAGCTGTACTGCAACCACCGCAAATAAGAGTCCTGCTACCAAGAGTCCTCTCATCGTCCACACAAGTTTAGAAGACATTATCAATAAAAATTGCTTACCTAGGTCAACTGAGGCAGATGAGGACGAGCCTTCACCAATGCCCACAGCACCAAGGGTGTCAACTGATGAGACACAAGAGCGAAAAACGCCTGGAAGAGGAAAAGATTAGAGGAAGCCAAAACGATGGAACAATAAACGACCATAACGAAGGCAAAAGTTGTGCCTAACGAAACAAAATCTTTTTTAAATCACGGAATAAGCATTCAAACGAGAAGTTTCCCTCTAGCGAGCAGCAGGATCGATTGCGCGTTGTCAGGACAGAATGGGAGTGTGGCGTGAAAGTGCAGACGTTTACGGGATGTTCTAAGGACGTCGGATGAAGCTTAGCACTTTGTACGCTTAGCATATTCAACTTCTCAACGAAGTCATACGACCTTTTGCGTGAGGAATTTAGTCTATTCTCTATCGATAAGGATTGACTCTTGCCTAAGCATGAGTCGCTAGCACAAAGATTGGCGAACTATAACAGAGTAGAAAAAGTTTCACTACCTTGACAGCTGACGAAAGGAGGAGAGCTATTCGCTGCCTACAGAGCCAATACTCTGAAGCGGACGCGAGAGGATAGGCGGGACGAAATCAGCTGGTAACGGGGACTAGCGCTGCATGACGTAAGAAGAGGACATCCTCTCCTCCTACCGAGAAGAGATTAGATGATATAAGCCGATTGGGAACTTGCGGCCGAAAAACTATGAAAAATTAGTTTAGTTGTCATTATTTGCAAGAAAATCAACAGAAACAGTAATTTGTGAGAAGTCAAATTGCTTTCATAAATTTTAAATTTGATGATAAATTGTTGAAATGTATTACTCAACCTCAAATTATTGAGCAGGTAAAAAGAATTATCAATTTCAATCAGTTTTTGCTTACTTTTTTTGCAAGGACAGTTCAAAGAGCGCAATTGAAACTTGTGATACGTTTCTAATAAAAAACAGCTCATTCGAAAAACACGCAGTTTCCATTTCCCTATTGACCGTATGGAGCTCAACTTCCTGCACAGATCATGCATGTCGAGTTAATTACCGCTTCAAATTCATGTGACGTCCATAAGACTGACGATGTAATTTGGCTATGTTTATGAAGGTGATTGTATTGATATTTAATATATTATAAAAGACGCGACACTGTTCCACTTGGAAAAATATTAAAAAACTCAAAATTCACTTCGAAGATGACTCATTCGACGCACGACTACCATTTGATAAGACGGTAGGTATTATAATAAAAATCGTATTGCACCGGAGTGCTCTTTCGAAATCTAATTCCTGTCAGACTCAAAAACATCCAGCTTAACTATGAAACTATGAAGTAACGATCATGGCTAAGGTGGAAACCCTATGATAAACACGTTTCGGTTTTATTTTTGTGCCATTCGTACAATGCTGGCGACCCCGCTTGGGTTTCAATGATACAATCTAACCTAAGTGGATTTGTGGGTCATACTTGACTATAGTTTGATCGCGGCGGTCACTTGGCGATAATAATGCCCCTAGAAAAAAGCGGCAAAGACGACCACTTCTATAGATGTCCTAAGGAGCAAAGCAAAGAAGAAAACAGTTCGCGAGAACTGAAACTTGTCGAGTATCATGTACTCAGCATCCATACAAAATGCTTGTAAAATTCACCCACAAAAATGTGAAGGAGGACGTTGAAGAAGAAATATTCAGTTGCATGCAAAAAGTCAACATCGAATATGTAAACCAAAAACAAGGCATCGACATTTGAATGTGTATAGCAAAACACTTGAACGATACTCTGTTAAAGAAGTGCAGCATTATCTTCGTGCAAAATATCAAAGCGAGAAATGCCGAGCAAAGAAAAAAAGAACCTCGCCGCAAACACGTCAATAGCACCGCCCACGGTTAGAAGATAACGGAACATTCTCGAACGTAGGACAAAGACCTTTTTATCAAGGATACTGTAGCGTAAACATGAAAGCTCTTTCCTGCATTCTCAGGAATGTGATAACAACTTGTAATGAGGTCATGTTCTGTGCAATTGAGACAGCCAGCTGGAAGACTAGTGCCAGCTGAAGGAGAAAGTGCGCCTGAAACCGCGCTACACCCATCCGGTAGATCGGATGTGTGGTCCTGAGAGGAAAATATGGCGCTATATTTGTTTGAATATTGTGGTATGCTTCAATTTCTTTCTTTCACTGTTGCTTCTGCAGTTTGAGACCATGACGATATCAGCGATGATACATTGCGCAAGACGGAATTGTCACTTGCAGTACGCCTACCGTAGCCCTACGAAGTTCCTCATGAAAGATGCATTTGGAAATTGAGAGCTGAGTCAGTGACGAAAATGAAAGCAAAGCTGGTGACTAAGCTTCTAAACTAAAACCACATGAAAAAAAATTTATAGCCATCATGTTTATGCTTGCTGCTTCAGAATGTCATGCACTAAGGCTCCAAGGAACGACCAAGTCGATGAATCGCAGCCAAAATAAAAGTTCCGTTCGCAATCTGCGTAGGCTTGGTTAAATTTAGAAGCAAAGTGCTCGCTTGGTTTCTTAGAGATGGAGAAAACAAAGTATTATAACAGATAGTGAGAACATAGGCTTGAGAATCATTCCTGGCCATTAGAAACTAAATTAATTAATAATTAACTAAATTAATTAATTAATATTTCTGTTCTTTCAGAAGGATGGGTACTTTATTTTATTTTATTTTATTTTTAATAATTTTTCTATGATGATTTCTTTAATTTTTTATTTGTCGACCTCTAGTAGCCAATGGGTCGAATTTTCAATTTTCAATATAGATTAATAATGAGTACTCTAGGACTTGATCAACTAGTTCCTCTGAAATACACCAAGAAAAAAGTTCACCCAACTTACTATTATTGCAAGTTAATAAAATAGAAAATGAGAGAGCAAGAAGCAGAAAATAAAGAAGTACCCTAAAGAAAAAAGGGAAGACTTTATGAATAAATTCCAAGAGCAAAACATGAGGAGAAAAGCTTTGGCTCGATAGATGTGTTAAAAATTGTATAACTGAACTCTGAAAATCGGAAAATGATCTGATTGAGGTAAGATAGAAGGTAGAAAGAAAGAAATATACGGAGCTTCCTACTCTGCTCATTTACTAGATTATTTTCCGATTTTCAAAAGGTTAGTTAAAAATTTTACTAATTATTATCTGTCACTGGAGGAGAACATGTTTTTATGAATTTCGAGAACAGCATTTGCGCTAATACATATTGCTAGTAAAACAGCAGCTGCCGGGTGAAAATAATGATGTGAGACAGATGACCAACGATTTACGACTATTTGTTATTAACGTCACAGTACACTCCAAGAGCTTGTGCTTGAAATGCACGATAGCACACACGAGGTGCCCACGTCACGGTCAGACGTACTCTTTCATTTGCAAGAAAAAAGACTCGTAGTCCGGTGCGACCAAAAATTCGAGGTCTGCATGAAGAAATTGTCGTGAATTTCTCAAAAATCGCCACAAAAACAAAACTTTGTTGCTCTCTTTTCAAAATCAGTTTCAATAATATGTTGACAACAATTTGTGAACAGTTAGGTTGTGACACAAAGTTGACCTTATATAGCAATGTTTGCACCCATAGCAGTCATAAAGGCCATTGTGGCCTGTCTGATAAGCTGAAAGCTCACGTCACCCCATCGGCATGACTCAATCTCCTTTTTGCCGTCCTTATCAGAATTTACGGGGCAAAGAAAGATTAAATGCACACCCCGTGTGATCTTGCTTATTTTTTGTATATGAAGAATGTGTTGTAATTTCTAACCATGACATAAAGCGAAAACATTTCTCAACAAATCACATCGAATGCACTTCTTCCATCTGCAATTCGTTGTTATGCACGTAATAAAATGAGCCGTAACCAGTTTTCAAAAAAGCGCTGTAAGTAGGATGTGCTTGAGATTCCGAGTCGCACGTTTCTTCTAGCACTTGGTCATTTGGTACCACGGAGATTCGCACAAAAGAGCATTCAGGCAGATGAATAATGTTGGGAATACACTCATCCGCACACAGAGAACGATCATTGCGGGCACGAGAAAGAGAGGAACGCTGGAAAACAGGGGCACAAGGCACTGGCGGAGGATAGGAGTGAGTTGGGGGACCGTATCGTGAAGAAATCAGCCTTATCTTATCGTACGACCTCCGGACGCTCGCGCTAACAACCTACACACACCCCCAGACCACTTTGTCAGCGATTTCGAAAGCTTGCATTATTGGAAGAAATCTGATTCATCCCTAGGTGGGAAAAACTTTTTCCAACAGCAAATTTTTTAACTCTACTGAAGCGCTAGAAAATCTCCTTCAACTACAACCATTTTCTTTAACTTTTGCTGAAATAAAAAACTTCCGAAATCGAGTAAGACTGCCGCATTAGACCAAGCGGCGATTTCCCACTAAAAATCATGTCTGTCTAGCACGAGTTTCGACCAAATATTAGGTCGTTCCAAAAGTAATTTTTTTTCGAATGAGCGTAACATCTCCCAGAAAAAAGATTCCTTAAAGCTTTTGGATGCATTCGATGCAACTTTTCATCCTCTCAGGTCTCCTCATTACATTTTAGCCAACGAGCCTCAGAAAATGACCAATAACTATGACTCGTGATTTTTGCCAAGGTCAAGGTTCGCTATTTTTGCAAATTCTTATAAAATCCTCCTAAGCACCCAAGTAACAAATGGGTAGGGCAAACCCTACAAAATACGTAACAAGTTTTTTCTCGTTTGGCCCTTTATGATTTCCTGATAGAATTTTTATTGAGACTACCGCAATTTATCAGTCCTGTATCAACACTTATCAAACACCAACGATTCCCCAGATTTTGAAGCCTCCAAAAAGAAATCACGCCTTAGCAATTTTACAAAACAAATGAAGAAAATACAAACAATAAAAAAATAAATAATACAAACAATACAATGTGTATGCAATATAATATAATACAAGATAAATAAATAATACAAATAATATAATCTCGAATTCTGTGGGTACAGCCTGAGGTACGCTTAGGAAAGAGGACAAAAAGCTGCATTGGATGACACTCGAGTTGATGTGCGGTTGATGAAAGAGGTACGAGTTGAATAGATTTGGAATTTAAGCATCAAAAAATGATTACAAAAATCTTGAAAGCAGGCTATAAAAGGGAAAATTGTTTTGCATGTTGTACGGTTTGCTCTACCCATATGCGTGTACTTAAACTTCATCTGTAAATCATTGCAACAATTTAAGAAGTTAGCGGCATGACGATGGCAAAAACCATGGGTCATAGTTTTGCTAATCTTCTAAGAGCTCATTCGATAAAGGAATGAGGAAACAATCATTTGAAAGAGGATGAAAAGCTGAATCGAATGCACCTAAGAAATTTCAAGGTTCTTTGTTCCCTGAAATCTTACGCTCTTTTGAATAGCGAAATTGCTTTGGGAACGAGCTAATATTTACCTGAAACAGCACTTCAAACCTTAACCTTTGCCGATGTCAAATTTGTCTTGAAACACGGTCTAATTTAAGTTGATTGCGGTGTACTTAGCAGTACAAATCTCTTTT